CGACGTTCGCATGGGTTGATCGAGAGGCCGCCTGGGCGCGCACGCTCGATCGGCAATCTATATACAACAGTCACCATGCATGTCGTGAGTGTGTGCGCGAGTTTCTGCACCCTTCTGCATGGCAGCATGACACGATGCAAGTGACGACCGAGTCCTCGATCCGAGTCACGAGTGGAGGTCGGTCTATACAGTAGATACATGCCTGCCCGCCTTGGTGCTTCACCACACAAGCATCAGGCATGCAAGCATCGCATCGCCTCGCCTCGCCTCGCCTCGCTCATCCGCGCCCGCGCCCGCGTGCCATTGCCATTGCCAATCCGACGTGGATTTCGCTACCTACACGGACTTGATACGGACTTGATACGTGTATACGTGTGACGATCGATCAGGATCAGAATTCGGTCCACATCTCGTCATCATCATCAATTCAAGAGGGATGGCAACGAATTGCTACTCGGACTCAGACTCATCAATGTGATGATCAGAGCTACAGTACATAGCACACCTGCTTGGCTCGCTCGCTCTCTCATCCTCTCGAGACCCCGTCCCGTCTCTTTGGAGCAAATGGAAAATGTGTCTTGCACCGAGATCGATCGGGCCCTTTGCATGCGTTCTGACAAATGAGACTTTCCACTTTCCGGGAGGCACAGTCACGAGTGGTGCAGTCAGGGTCGCGAGCGCATGATGCCGAGTGTGAATTCATCCATCCATCCATCCATCCATCCAGCTCAAGCTTGCACTGCGGTCCGAATCAGCCAGCCAGCCGGTCCAGTCGCGTCGCTCCTATACCAAGAAGCTTGAAATCCGAATCCGAGACGCGCGCATGTCTCGCGTGGATCTGTGGCGCCCGCGCGTGACATTTGCGTTGCGCATGTTATTCTGACGTGTGCTCCACGCCTGCTGCGCCTTTCTTGCCTCGGCTCCAACTAAGCGATTCGTTCGGGGTCTGTCTGTGCATTCGGGTCAATCAGAATGCCAAGCGTGCTCGGTCAAGTTGAATGCCAAGTAAGTGCGCTTCAGCACTCGATTCGTGATTCACATCGTGATCCACATCGTGATCCACATTTTGATCGACTTGCGAATTGCTCGCTCGCTCGCTCGCTCGCTCGCATCAAAGCAGTCAAAGAAAAATCGATCCTTAACACGCACTCATTCGAAACATTTTCAAGCGAGCAGGCGCGGCGCGGATCTTTCGAGTCAAAGTCAAAAGTCAAGTCTGAGTCACGATCGAGTCTCGACCGCTACGCTCACGTGACTGAGATGTCGGCGAACCGATCAAGCGGCAAAAGCCGAAACACGCGATCGAGGGGGCACGCTAGCTCGCACGGGTGTACCGGTACGGCACACACGTGCACATGCTCGCACTCGAGATGCACGCGACAGACGATCGTGAACTGACTCTGACTGACGACTGTGACTGGTGACTGTGTATGTATGATCGCGGGCGTTGCCTGTTGACTGTGCAATCGTGAAGCTTGATGAATGTGAATCTTTCTCGTGTCGAGGTGGTGAGCCGCGTAAGCCTGCTTGCTCACACACGAGCGCCTATATAGCTGTTGATCTACGAGTCCGCAGTCCGCGCTTGCAGGGCTTTGACGCGCGCCAGAACAGTCGCGAGTCGATCGTGAGTGCGGACGCGCGCATCATCTTGCGTGCACTCGAGGCTGCCTCCAAATTCACCCTCAAGAAAGCATGTGGATGATCATGTCAACCCCGAAGAAATCTAGGTGATCTGCCACTCGCGATTCCGATGCGGTTGGGGCGAGTTCGAAGCCATCCATCTATCTACGCATCAATCGTGAATTGAGGGACAAGACGAGACGATACTCGCGTGCGTGACTTGATTGAAACCGCTGATGGGCGCGCGTGCCTTCGGGCAAAGGCCGCGCCGCGCGCGCGCGTATGGATGGCGCTGAGTTCACGCCTGGGTGCTGCTGCTTTGCTGCTCAAGTCGTGAGTGCATGCGGCATCGTATCATCATCAGATGCCCGCGCGGCCGATGTGCGCGCGCGCTTGCGCTTTCTTGATTTTTGAGCTCAAGCGCGGCTATCGAGATGAATCAGCTGCAGTCACGCGCGAGTCACGGCGTTGTGCGCATACACACATGCAGCATGCGACTCGTGACTCTTTGCCATCACTCGTGACTTGATCCTCACCCACCCTTTCTCGTCACTCGGTTGGTTGTGACCGCACTTTGCATCCACACACACACACACACACACACACTCTCTCTCTCTCTCTTGCACACCTCTCAATCAAGTCGCAACGGTGTGCGCGCGCACGCGCACGTCTGTACAGTCACCCCGCCCCACCAACTTTACACCGCATACAGACGCACACCCAGAGCACACCTCGCATTCGGCCCACATCCGCGCCGGCAGAGTCCACTGTCTCGCACTCTGATCAAAGCGCCGAGTGGCTCGCTCGCTCGCTCGCCCGCTCGCTTCGCTTTGGCGGCCATGTCGCTCGCATACTTTGCGGCGCCTGTTGGGCCGCACGCCTTCGCATTTGCTCAGGCTCCCCCAAAAGCAGCTGAAGAGGTTCCTGCCGCAAGCGATGTCGGTCTACAGCAGCCACGAAGCACCAGCGATAGCGACTCGAGCATCGAGAAAGGAGCGTCTGCCGACAGCTCTCCCGCTCGACCAAAGAGGGCAGCGGCGGCTCTAGCCAATGCGAACCTGACCTCGCCTCCCAAAGCATCCAGCTCCTCTGCCAAAAAGATGCCCGTCGAGCCAGCTTACTTTTACCCATCCGACTCCACCGACGTTGCAGCGACGGCAGATGATGGTGTGCCCGTCTTTGAGCCGACCATGGAACAATTTGCCGACTTTGAAGCGTACTGTGAGGCCATCGATGCTTGGGGCATGCGGTCGGGCATTGTCAAGATCATACCGCCGCGTGCGTGGAAGGAGCAGCTGCCCTCTTTGCAGCTGCCACCCGAACCGGACGGCACGCCGAGGGGCATCGCCAGCATCAGGATCCGCAATGCCATTTCACAGAACTGGGTGCCGGCAGGCAGCGGTCTTTGGCGTCAACAAAATGTGGTGCATCCCGCCAAAATATGGAATGCTCTGCAGTGGGCCGAAGTGTGCGCCAGCGAAGCTCAGCGAGGTCCAGAGATGAATCGAATGAAGGCCAACGCGGAGAGGACGAGACGTCCTGTTGATGCTACGGAAGAGGATGGAGTCAGAACGCGATCTGGACGAGCCAAGGATGGTAGGCCCAGTTCCAGCATTGCTTCCACCAAGCGCAAGCGTCCTGCAGCAGCACCCCGAGCATCCAATGGTGGCGCTTCCCAGCACCGCCGATCTTCCACTCAACCGCGCGAATCGTCCCCTCTACCTGTCTCCAGTGATGTTGCACAACCCTCTGAGGCTGACGAAAAGCCGCAGGCCGGGCAAAGCGATGCTCGCGCGCCGAGTACGTCTCCCACTCGAATGCTGCGCACCAGGCCCAGCGCTGGACAGGAGGGGGACGTCAAGAGCGACGTCAAGAAGAGCGAAAGCAAGTCGAGTAGTGCGGCACCTAAGCCCAAGGCTGCGGACCTCACCACCGAAGCCGAGTGGGCTGCATTCAATCACGAGACGTGCTGGTTGCGAGAGGCAGCCAGCGATCCTGCCAGTGCTTTCAAGATTGCGGTGCTCGACGAGTCGCGGGCAGACGGCGAAACGCAGCCCGGCGAATCGATCAAGACGGAGGATGGCGAGGGTACTACAAAGATGGAGCAGGACGATGGTGGGGAATCTGTCAAGGCGGTCGACGTCTCGAAGCAGCCAACACCTAAAGACTGGCAGAATGCAGACACTTGCAGAGAAATTGAAGCTGAATATTGGCGTGGGTTGAATTTTGGCAAGCCGCCAATGTATGGAGCGGATCTCAAGGTGAGCATTCCTCTCCTCTGTCTGCCGTAGACCGCGCTTTCACTGACATTCTGCTCTCTCCCTAGGGAACGCTCTTTACGCCCGAGACGACTGCCTGGAACGTTGGCAACCTGCCCAACATCCTCACGCGGTTGCGCCTCAAGCGCAAACTGCCTGGAGTCACGACGCCTTACCTGTACTTTGGCATGTGGAGAGCGACATTTGCGTGGCACGTGGAAGACGTGTGAGTGCGACGCCATGTTTATAAAGTGTTCAACGACTGCTCATACCCATGCACTGCGCGCGCCGACAGCGACTTGTACAGCATCAACTACATTCACTTTGGAGCACCAAAGCAATGGTACAGTATCCGACAGGCAGACAAGACGAGGTTCGAGAATGCCATGGCAGGTGCTTTCCCAAGCGATGCGCGCAGATGCAAACACTTTATGAGGCACAAGTCCTACCTCGCCTCTCCCGCCTTCTTGGCAGCGCACAACATCAAGCCTTTGCGGCTGGTGCACCACGCTGGTGAATTCGTCATTACTTATCCGTACGGCTATCATTCTGGCTTCAATATGGGCTTCAACTGCGCCGAGAGCGTCAACTTTGCCTTGCCCTCGTGGCTCGACATTGGACGTCGAGCGGGCTGGTGCGAGTGCGAAGAGTGGAGCGTGCGCATGGACGTCGATGCCATCCTGAAGGAATCGGAAGAGATCATCGAGATGGAAAAGAAGCGGGAACAGCGCGCTTTGATCCGCCAGCAGCAGGAAGCCGGCGCTGAAGTGGATCAGGAACGATTGGAAGCGAGACGCGCGGCGCGGCGCGAGTACGAAGCTCGAAGGAAAAAGGCCAAGGCTGAGCGTCTGGCAGCCGAGGCGAGTGGATACGCCGAAACGGCGAGCAGTCCAACGAAAAAGGCTCGACGCACGTCGGACGAGGATGCGGATGCGGATGCCGACAAGACTTGCGTCTACTGCGTGTCTGATTTCGACAATCCCCATGTGCTCATCGAGGAGGTTGATGCGGAGAGTGCAACAGCACCGCCTCGCTATGCCCACGATCTCTGTGCCAATTTTGTGCCAGAGACGTGGGTGGAAACGCGCGAGGATGGCATGGACGTCGTCAAGGGATTTGCTGGCATTCCAAAGGCCAGGCGCACCCTCAAATGCGCCCTTTGTCCGCGCGAAGAGTATGCCAAGGCTGGCATCAAGACACAATGCACCTATGGAAACTGCACGCGCGCCGCGCATATTGGCTGCGCTTACCTCGAAGCGACGGGATGGCGCCTCGACGTGCTGCCTCAATCGAAAGCTGATGTTGTTGAAGGGCGCAAAAAGGTTAGCAACGGAAAGAAGAGGCAAGTTCTGGAGGCAGTGTCTGCTGAGCAGGCCGAGATGAATCTTGGCAATGAAGCAGTCCGACACGTAGTCCTCTGCTCCACGCACAACCCGCACGCCAAGAAGAGGCTGTCAGCGAGCGCTCAGAGGAATGCGGCTGTCGAGCGAGCTTGCGCATTGAGGCTCAAAGTGGACGAAATGTGCAGCGTCAAGGTGGCAGGGCACGAGACGCTGGTGCCCATTGTTCGCATCGTCGATTCTTCTGGCGAGCTGCCGGACGTTGCCGGTGCTGTACACGGCTCTATATCCTATTTCTACCGACCGGACGAGGAGCGATTTGTCAAGTGGTGCCACGTCATCTTTCCTGAGGAGCAAAAGCTTCAGGCAGCGGCCGAGTATGATGCGGCACAGGCCCAGGCGCAGGCGGAAGCGCAAGCGCAAGCAGAGATCAAACCACATGCGAAGCGAAAAGTCGTCACCGAGGAGGAGGAGGATGCGCAGCAGCAGACCAGCACAATTGAACAGCCAAAGAAGAAGGCTCGCAAACCGACCGATGCAAACGCTCCAAAGAAGCCTCGAAAGCCTCGCGTCTCGAAAGCGCAAGAGCAACAGCATTCCACGGGCTTGCAGGTGCCACCACCCATGCTTCACGCTGCGCAAATGACGCCGAGTCCTTCCAAGCCTCTGCTTGAGCATGCCAGATATGCGATGCCGCTCGACGCGCCCCTGACTCCGGATTCCAGCAATGGCACGCCACCTCAAATGTCTCATGGTGCGCTGCACCGTCGCGAGCCCTTGCATGGGCCGATGCCACCCTCTGGGCACTACGCGCCGCACCTCGGCTATGGGTCTGCGCGCTATTATCCTAGTCACGAAGTTGCTGCGCCATACCCACCTGGAGCTGACAGTCGACACGGAATGACGTATGGGCATCATCAAGTTCCATACGGCGCGGCGTACGCGCATCAAATCCCTTCGATGCAGAGCCACGCATACGCGCATGCGCCAGATCTTCGCGAGGCGCGAATGTCGGTTCAGCGACCTGAAGATGCTTTGAACAGTCTGGCTACGCACGCAGCAGCCATGGCACCGGCTGTCTCAAGTTCAGCTCGCAGTGAAAACACGTCCCTGCATTCCTCTCACGGCTCTTACGACCCGCGCCACTCTTCCTATGCCAACGGCAGCATGTCGAGCTCTTCTCCTCACCTGAGCTCCTCATCTCCGCACCACGCTGCACCAACGTTGCCACCCATCGGGCGCGGACATGCTCCATACCAAGCAGAATACGGTGCTTACGCTCCTCAAGGCCCTCAAGCACATCTCTTTCATCCCTCTTATCGTCAACTTCAGCCTCCCCCTTCACACCATCGAGCGCCTCACGCGCCAGCTCCAGCTGACCATCGCGCTACCGCTCGTCCCTACTGATCCGTGCGCGACAAGCGCACGCGAGCCCGCACGCCCGCACGCGCCCCATCTTTTTGTGTATTTTTTTTTTCCCGTCTAAATGGCATCCGCTCCGACATTAATGTGCTCGATCTATGCATTGCGTGCGAGTCCACGTGTGAGGTAGAGAGGGAGTGTGACAAAGTGGGGGTACAATGAGGGTGACATTCAACGAGACCAGAGGGGAATAAAGGGCTTTTTCTTGATTGCGCTCCTTCACTTGGCAGCCTGGACGGCTTTGAGAATGGCGCCTTCTGCAGCTGCAAGACCAGCCTTGAATTGCTTCTTGTAGCTAGCCGCATTGCCCGAGTTCGAGTTCAATTTGCCCAGGGCCAATCTAGCGCTCCAAGAATCCTCCATGTACTGCTGAGCAAAGCCCAATTTGGAAAGATTGGCATTCGAAGCAAAATATCGGGCAGTCTTGAAGCCGTCGGAGAAGCCTGCTCTAGAGGCCAGCGTTTGCTCGCTCGGTGTAGAGGCAGAGGCAGAGGCAGAGGCGGCTTCGGCTTGACGAGAAGAGAGCTGAGAAGAGCGCACCATGGCGCCCGCGCGCGCTGCTATGGATCCGCCGCTCACGTTGCGCGTCTTGTGAACGACCATTCCTACGCGGGCAGTCTCGCTGGACGGTGCGGTGGCGCTCGCGCTCGCGTTCGCGCTCAAGACGTCTGGCGTCGACTCGTCGTCCGCGCCGCCGCTGACGATCTTTTTGAGGTTCAGAGAAGAAGCGGATGGCAACTGGATCGCAGAAATGGTCGCGAGCAGATCGGCGACTTTTTTGCTCGGATCCTTTTTTCCAGCAGAAGCAATAGCAGCGTAAACATTCTTGGTCACGTTTGCCGAGTTCCACAGATCAAACGTCGAAGGCAAGTACTGTTTGGCCGCTTGCTGGAAGCACCAACCACCATTGTTGGAGCAACCTTCGAGCTTGTACGACCAAAAGGCCCAACCTGCCGTAGCGTCCGTGTACAGTTTCCGCTGAGCTTCGCAGAAGGCAGTCTGATCCTGCTGAGGCGTGGAAGACTTGGCTAGACTGCTGGGTGCTAGAGCGCAAGACCATTCCCCTACAATCAGATTGCGACGAGAAATGTCGCTGTTCTTGTTGAACCAAGTCGTGATGCCACCGTTGAGAGCTTTGGTGTGACCCTTGGCGGTGGTGGATTGGTCGGAGCTGGTGTAGACGTAGTACGCGTGATGATCCTGCACCACAAAGTCCTTTCTCGTTGCTGTGAATTGAGATCCCTTGTCCAGGTTAAAGGCATTGTGAAAGTACAATGGCACCGTCTTTGCTTCGGGAGAAGCAGCCCTCATCGCGTCCATCGCCTTTCTGTACCAAGGCCAAAGGTTGGGCCTATCCTGAGGCTCGTTGAGCAATTGAATACCAATCACGTTGGTCACGTCCGAAATCTCCTTGGCCAGCCACACCAGCAGATCAGTGGTCAAACCCATATTGTAGTCGTTGTAAAACTCGATGTTACCGTCCGAAAGTCCCGAATGAGGTTGACCATTCTGACTTCCGTAGGCTCCATGCAGATCCACCAGAACGCCCATGTCGTATTTGGCTGCCCAATTGATTGCACGAGCGACGTAGCGCCAAGATCGAGCGTACACGTCTTGGTACGCAAGAAAAGGGCTGTTGCGTGTAAAGTACGGGCCGACGGACCAGTAGCCGATGGGGAGGCGAATGGAATTGATTCCCTGAGCGGCAAGCTTGGCAAAGTCGTCCTCGGTGATCCAAGTGTCCTGCCGGGGAAGGGGTACAGTCGCGCCTCAACATCACGTGCTCAACATCATGTGCTCAACATCATGTGCTCAACATCATGTGCTCAACATCATGTGCTCAGCTCACACACACTCACCCAGTGCCTCTCCATATAAGCCGTCGCATTTCGCACACCAGCGGCCGACTGACCGAACCCATCCAGCACGTCGTACTCTGCCTGCTTGCCGCCCGTGCTGCAAGAGAAGAGGTTGGACTGCATCCAACCTTCGAGCACGAACCAGGCGCCCATGTTGACAGCATTTTGCTGTCTGTACCTCATCACGTTTGCCTTGACCGGATCGAATGGAGCAAAGACGGGAGGCGGCAACGCATCCTCGCCTCCCTTTGGCGTGTAGGCCGATTGGATGGGACAATTGCCAGGCCCGATCTTGGGACCGCTGGATGCAAAGCTATTTGCAGAGGACGACGCATTGCGCTGAGCGACGTACAGCACCGACGGCTCTCCCCACTCCTCCACGGGTCTGGCATCGCCGCCGCCGCCGCTGCCGCCTGTTGCACCGCTGCCCGCACCGGTCTGCACTTGAAAGGAGCGGCCAGCACCACCAAGTTCTGCAACGCTGGCCCCGCCCAACTGAGCCGTCAAGGCGGCAGCTGCCGTAGTGCCATTGGTGGGCAATTGAGGCACGGGCTTGTAGTTGGCAATGGCCAAGGACAAGCCGCTGGCCAAAGAGTAGATGTTGGTATCGCGCGGCAGCAAACGCATCTTTGCTTGCACTTGGACCTCCCACTTCTGCCGTACCTGCGGCTCTGAATGCAAAGAGTGTGATGAGCGAATCGAAATGGCGCCTGGCCGATGAAGATGAAAGAGAAGAAAAAGAAGGTAAAGGAGGAGGACTGCGACCTGGCAAATCCAAGAGGGCGGAGGGGGCGGGGAGGAAAAGGGATGTAGAGTGATGGCAAAGAGGAGAGAGAGAGAGAGAGAGAGAGAGAGAGTGGACGCTGGCTCATATTGAAGCTTTCTCAACGGAAACCGCTTCTCTGGACTCTTGCTTGCATTCGACACGACACCACCCAGCGCGCCACCGCGAGCGCAACCGCCTTTCCGACGACTCAACAACCACAAACGCCGCCGACGTGGATGTGGACGTGGATGAGACCTGCCCTTTCGAGAAGCGCGAGACGCGCGAGCCGACCGCTGCACCGCTCGATCGGTCGAACAAGGCATGATATGACCACGTCCACCAATTAAGCAACGACGCCAAGACACCGAACACTTGTCGCGCGCCAGTCCACACACACACACACCTCCACGATGCGCGTGTGGACCAGCAGAGGACAGGGCCGAGACATGCGCGCGCGCGCGTGTGCCCCTCCAACACGTTCAACATCCACCACCATGACATGACGGCCGCGCATCGGCGTCGCTTTAGCCGGAAGCTGCACCGCACCGCACCGCACCCAACCGCGAGCGAGCTTTCGAAATGTTAATCACAATGTTGCACCTGGTGTAGACGGATCTGCAAGTGCAAGTGCCAGTGCAAGTGCAAGTGCAAGTGCAAGTTCCAGGCCCCGCCCCCGGCCTTTGGACGAATCATGTAGGACTTGCGCTCCTCGGCCCGCACCATCGCCGCAGTGTGAATCCAGTCGAATCCACTCTCGCGCGTCCATTGATCCCTTGGCAGTCATGAGTCGAGTCTCCGGTGCGACGCTACGAGATGGCTGGGTGGATGTGTGGATGGATGTATCGCAACGGATGGGATGGATGTCAAGATGCGAGTCGAGTCGAGTCGAGTCGAGTCGCGCGCCTCGATCGCATGGCCGTTGAGCTGACTGCCCATGCATGCAGAAGGTGGGACCAGAATGTCCGAGATCAATTCCATTCACGATTGATTGCATTCAATTATCGGCCGCCGGCGCTCTCGACATCCACGTGATTCATGCGGGTCTCTGAATCGAGATCACTAACTAACACAAGCTGCGCGCATTCAACCAATTTTGAATTTCATTCGTGATTGCACACCGCACACCGCTCCAACCCACATCAAGCAGCGACGCCGACCTGAACGTCGTGCACCTTGGAGAGCCAGTCGGCGACGTGTTGAGCGTCCCTGACTCTGCAAGCGATCTTGAACCTCTTTGGTACCGTAGCAAAATGAATCGGATTATCGCTATCCTCATCCGGATCAAACCTCGTCGTCGTCGTCGTCGTCGTCGTCCCATCAGCTCCAGATGCGTCGGCCACTTGGAAAAAGTAGATGAGCTGAGCGAGGGCAATGTAGATTTCTCGATTGGCCAGAGTCGTCGCGGGACAGATTCGCTTGCCTATACCGTAGCTGTAATTGTCCACTAGCCACGTCTTGCGAGATGTGGCGTCGTCGGACATGTATCTCTCCGGATCGAACCTTTCAGGGTCCTTGAAGCGAGACGGATCGCGATTTACTGCGTGCGCATTGAGGGAAATGATGGTGCCCTGAGAGCGGCGAATCGATCAGCGGCAGGCACAGGTAACACCATCAGCGCAAGCACAGACGCGAATCAGCCCCCGCTTCCCTCACTCTCAACCCCCCCGCACCCACCTTTGGAATGATGTTGCCACGCCAGACGACGTCTTCGTTGGTAAGACGAGGCATGCTGAGACGCAAGGGAGTGCTCAATCGCAGACTCTCCTTGACGGTGGCCATCAAGTAGTCGCTCTTGGCTTGGGAAAAGTCTGGAAAACGCTCGCCCTTGTGCTGCTGCAAAAGGTCATCGTAAGCTTTGCTCTGCGCTTGCGGATTAGCAGCAAGAAAGCCAATGGCCCATTGCATTGCCGAGTGGAAATGCTGGTCTAGTCCCGTGGCGGCCATGCTGTTGCACAGGCTAATCATCTCGTCGTGATTCAGCTTGACCCTCTCTTGAAGCACAATGTTGCCCAACACCGACGGAACATCCTTTCCATCCGCTTGACGCTGCTTTAGCGCTTTCAAGAGTCGATTCATGTAGATGGTACGCAGTTTGAGCACCGCTTCGCACACATCCCCATCTTCGGGCCGGCCAAAGATTCTGAGGGGAGGAAGCCAGTCCTGAGGCATGCCGTGTTGAGAGCGTACGCTGGTGGGGGGGGAGGGGGAGGAAAATCAGCGGTGGACGATTGCACTAGTGCAGTGCAGTGCACTCCGCACTCCGCACTCACTCGGAGCCTCTGCCAATGTAGGTAGACATTTCGTGCAGCAATTCCGGCGTAACGGCTTCGATTTGCTCCTTTGTGGGATCTTGATATCCGTTGGTCCAAGTGGCAGCCAATTCCCTCCACGAGTCGTCCACCTCCTTTGGCGTCATTCCAAAGTTGACGCCAATTGCCGCCATGCGCTGCAAGACGTGCGAATGAATGGTCAGGCGGGGCACGCGCGCGCGCGCGCGCTCACACGCAACCAAAGCGGAAAGCGCTCACAGTGAATCTCCTAATCGTGTCTGCAGAATCGAGCACAGCCCAAGTCCGACCATCTCCTACCCTCTCGTTGGATGCTCGGTAGTCGCTGAGCAGTCCTTGAATGAGCTCCCTGCCCATCACTGTGAGCAAGGGAACATAGCTCTCCACGAGCGAATTGTTGAGTGGGGGCAGGCCAGCTTTGCGTTTGCGCTGCGTGACCTCACCCCAAGGTGCGCTGGCCAGAGTCAGCTTGACAAATTGACCCTTGACGACCTGTTGGTGAAAGGTGAAGAGGGTAGGTCTGGAGGAGAAAGAGTCGCCCAGCTTGGCTAGCAGTTCGTGAGCTTCGCGAACCGTATTGATGACCAGCACGCGTTTGCGTCCAAGTCGAATCTGGAACACTCCGCTCTTCAACTCTTGAGACCATTTGAGGAATTGTTTGGGTGGATTCGCCGTGCGCTTGTACACGTGGCCCGTCAAAAAGTCGCCTGGAGGTGATGGAATACCTGCTAGCGGGGCAGGTGGCACGATGGATGCTAGAGCTGCGACGAACACGACCAACGTGAGGCCGGCTACTGCAGCCAAGAGCAACGTGGTGGCGCTCCACGGCAGACCAGCGGGCCACACGGCGTAATCGCCAATGACCGTCATGAGGATGAGGTGGTTGTGTGCGTGGGTGAGTGCGACTGCAAGTCGAGAAGGCTTCAGAGGGTCATTCGTCGACGTTGATTGAAGGCGCGGAGCTGTCACGTCATGAGCGTGTGTCTGGCCCTAAATACTTGCCAAACGTGTGCGGGTGATGAGCAACGCGCCTGATTGGGGAGGAGGTATGCATTGTGTGATTGGGTGAGCATGCCAAAGCGTTTGCATTGTGCAATGCTTGCACGCAGCATTCAAAGTGGGAAGAGGTGTACGTCATTGATCAGTCGGGCTCTGCTACCGTTGGCCAGCTGTGTGCGATTGTGCGGCATGCCACCGAGGCAGCGCTGCACACAAAGCGAGAAAAGAGGAAACGACGATGAAAGAATGGCTCGTTCGCTGTCGTCTGAGATCTGCGAATCGTGACTACACGAATGGTTGGATTCGTGAGCGAGCGGCGAGTCGGAATCGATCGAGATGGCGTCGCGCCTGCGCCTGCGCGAGCTCAAGCGGCGCGGAATTTCGACGTTAGCGCGGGATGCTGCTGCTGCATGCGAGGTCATGCAGCCGCTCCTGAATTGAATCACGAGGCCAAGCTTCGAGGCAAATCGTGAATGAATGCATGACGTGTTGGCCCATCACACCATCAAGACCAGTCACCAGGATTCAGCAGGCAGCTGAGAAGCGGCGACGATGTGTACGCCAATCACGGACAGTGGAGGCGATTGGGAGGGGCATAGTGAGGTAATAATCACGATATCTCGGCTTGTGCAGCGCACAGCGGTCTCGCAGTACCAAAGCTTGTACTGGTCAGAGCAGAGACGGAGGCGAAAGGCGGAGGAGGCAGCAGACGCTGCGCGGAGCACAAAGCAGGACAGGTGATCCACTCTAGCGGGATCGCCTCCAAAGGGCTCGTCGCACTGCTGCACCGCGAGGGCCTTGCTTGTAGCAATGTCTCATATGCTCAACCTTGAGCGCCAGCTTTCGGTCTTGAAGTCGTACAGAGATCGCTTCCATACCCGCTCACCCAGCACTCACGCGCCCGCACTCACACACACACACGCTCGCAGTCTTCATTATGCCTCGTTATTCGCTCCCTCGATTGGTGCTCACCTCTGGTGACGCGCTCTCGCCTGCAATCCTCGAGTACAGCACTTGGGGTACTTTGAACGAGCAGGGCGATAATTGCATCGTCATCGGTCATGCCATGACGGGCAGCCAGGATGTGCAAGATTGGTGGCCAGGCCTCGTCGGACCCAACAATGTCCCCGATTGCAAAGAGGAGGCCAGGGATGCGGCTCTATCGAAGGAGAGCGTGGACCCGTTGATACGGAGTCATAATGGCGAAGCAGCACGATCGAGTCCAGGCGCATTTGCAATCGACACTACCAAGTACTTTGTGTTTTGCGCCAACATTTTAGGTTCACCTTATGGCTCCAGTTCGCCGCTCAGCATCGACGAGAGGACTGGCAAGTGCTACGGTCCTGATTTCCCGCTCACAAACACGCGAGACGATGCCCAATTGCAATTGCATGCGCTCGCACACCTCGGAGTAAAGAGCATCGCTTGCGCACTCGGTGGATCCATGGGCGGCATGCTCGTCCTCGAGCTGGCTCTTGCCGCTTGCGCGGCAGAAGGGCCGTCACCTCGAATTCCTGTGCGAACTCTGATGCCGATCGCGAGCACATTGACGTCTTCATCTTGGATCATGGGCTGGAACGAGATCCAACGGGCGGCCATACAGATGGATCCAGCTTTCGATGAGGGGAGGTACTGCTGGCAAAGTCCGTCGAGAAGATCTTCCGTGGCTGATGCGCGGCGAGGCAGCACCAGCAGCACCACGAGCAGCACCGCTAGCAGCAGCAGCACCGCTGGGCCAGATCTTGGTCTATCGATCGCAAGGCAGATGGCCATGATGACGTTCAGATCGGAAGAAGCTTACAAGCACAAATTTCAGCGTCGCAGCACCTCGTCGGCATCCAGAACGGCAGCAGCGAAAAGTGCAATCTCTCTACCGCCGTCTCCACCCTTGTCGGCTTGTGCGAGCGAAGTGGAAGAGGGACGCGGAAGAAGCAGCGGGGTCAATATCCACGTCGCGAGCGACGCCGCAAACAATGATGTTCACTCGTCCGCCACTTGTTATCCCACGAGTCGACGCGCCTCCTCCATCAGTCCATCCAGCCACCCACTGCTCGAAGCGACTGTGCAGCCAGTGCAATCGTACCTGCGCTATCAAGGACAGAAGTTGGTGGATCGATTCGATGCAAATTGCTACATCCACTTGCTGCACAAGATGGACGCTCACGATGTCTTTTATGGTCGGAACACTTGCACAGTGAGGCGATTCCTACGATGCGAGGCCACGCAAGCACTCGGGAATGGAGGGGAAAAAGTCGTCGTGTTGGGCATACCAACAGACCGACTCTTTGCCTTTTCCGAACAACAGGACATGGCTCGATTTCTAGACTCGGAGCTTTGCGCCATCGAGAGCATGGACGGTCACGACGCGTTCCTCATCAAGAGAGATCTCGTGGCTTCCAAGATCGAGCAGCTGCTTTGCGTTTCGTGATTCGAATACATGCATGCAATTTGCTCGAAAGGCGTGACGAGAGTGATACAAGATTGGCGAGTATACAAACGAAAGGAAGGGGGGTCAAGACTGCGCTCAGCTCAGGTCCATGAATTCTGTTTGCTCGCGCGTGGCAGCAGACGTGGGAGCTGAAGCTGCACCCACAGCAGGCGCGTTGTGAAGATTGGCCAAGTAGTGTGCCATCCATCTCTTGACCTCTTCGTTGACGTCCATGACGTCCATGCCTGCAAAAAGGTCTTGCGAATCTGACCGAGCAGCATCACGATCGGTAGTAGGCGAGCTTGCCTGAGTAATGCAAGTCAGAGGCGAGAGTGGTGAGATGCAAGAGCCGCTTCCTAGAGTTGTGCTCGGCGTCGTGCCAAAAGTCGTGCTGGAAGGAGCCGTGGGCAGGTCAACGGAGGCGGCGCTGATCTCAGAGCCCCGTCGACTTTGCGCCTTGCCGTCCCCTTTTGCCCAGAGGTCATCAATCGAGGCGATAAAGCTTTGGCCATCGGTTGACAGCATGGTCGTCGGCGACCACGATGCCGAGGTCGAGTCGAAATTTGCCGACTTTGGTGCTCCGCCTACGCTTGCAGGGTACACTTGAGCAGAAGGTCGGATGGATGGCGCATCGTTTGTGGCGCTGCCATTGTGAGCCGCGTAGCCTGCTTCGGGCCAGTGGTTGGTGCAATGGGACGAGCTGCCCGTCTGACCTGAGGGAACGCTGAGATCGGCGGCCACGTCTGTAGCGTCTACGACGCGTGCTCGATCGGTTGACGAGGCACTTGTCTGGTGGCATTGGGAGCAGCTCGAAGCTTCCAGCTCTTGCCGCCACTTTGCTTCATCCGCGACTCTTGCGCGCAGTTGGACGACTTCTTGTACAAGTTCAGGAACGGCGTTTAGCACGCCAAGGGCTTTCTCGAGCACTGCGACTTTCGATGCGCGACCGGGGTCGGTAAACAGACGTTCTTCCAGTTGCTGTAGAGTGTTGAAAAAGTCGGCGATGAGACAGGCAAGACCGAAGCGAGCGAATCAGCGCAACAGACTCACTTCAAAGTACTCTGTGAGCGTCTGACGTCGTGCTCGCTCATTATTCATCCGCATCACTGCTCGTTCCCTACTGCGATTGGACTGGCTTTGTCGTCGAGATGCGCTGGCGTCGTAGGCGCGCATGCTCACGTCGGAGCCGTGGGAGCGGCTGCTTTCATGAGGCGGGGCTTCGAACCTGGCGTGACTTTCGAGATCCTCTTCGATGCTGCTGATCCGTCTGATGGCTCTGCCCCTGCCGTCTTCGGCGGCGCTGGCGGCCGCGCCGTGGTCATGAAGAGTCAATTTGGCGGACGCATTGCAGTCCGCAGGAAAGATGCCGAGCTCGGCTAGGGATTGGGCAGAGATGCCATTGTAGGGAGCGAGTTGCGGTGATGTGAGGTGAGCGTGACCTGCGCAGCTGGGCGTGACGTTGCGTGTGGGGGAAGAATGGCCGCTGTTGGCCCGAGAGTAGGAAATAGAGCTCGACCGAGAAGCGGATCTGGACGTGTTGCGCGCGACGCCTCCAGACCCTGCAGCTGCGGCGGTGGTTGCGCCAAGCATCGCAGATGTGTTCCCGTTGAAATTGGACTGCCGGATGGAGGCACGAAGAGTAGCGATGGGTCCTCCGCAAGCGCTGTTGCGTCGGTGACCTCCAGCGCCCATGCCCAACGGCTGCACCTCTTCTCTCGAGTCCGTACTGTGAGACTTGCTGACGCTCCCACCGCGCAGCCCCTCGTGCAGCGATCTATTTTGCGTCGTCGAGCTGGATGATGGCATGGAGCAGCCCGCGGCTTCCAACAGAGGTAATGGTAGCTCGTCTAGATACGACCTCATGATGCGTGTGGATGAGGGGTTGGTAGTGTGGAATGCAAAAGGGAATTTCTCGAAGAAGCGCTTTTTGAAGGTCGTTTGGGAGAAATCGAAGGGGAAACCGTCATTGTCTGGGTCAGCTTGCTGCGCAGAGCAATGACCTCGAGATCGAGAATGACCTCACTTTGAATGTTGGATACAACGTAGCCGGCGGCTCAAGTCGAGGAGCGCAGCACGAGTGTCTGAGCGACAATCGAGAGGCGAGAGCGTAAATGGTGTGCTCGACCCCAGAAGTAGCTCAAGCCCGAGCTTGTGTATGCACTTTGGTCCCGTGCCTGACGGAAAGTGCAGCACGGACAAACTTCGCATTGTCCAAGTGTCGAACAATGGCTGTCCACGACAAACGTGCCATTGCTAGCGCGCTGCGAAGAGTTTCTAAGTAGAGCTGGGCGCAGCGCTACAATTGTCCGGGTTTGTGCGTCTTTGCATTCCCGCAGCCCACACAAAGCCCGGACTCGTTGTTAATTGAATGCAATTCTGGCGGACTCGTTCTTAATTGAACGCAATTCTGGCTGTGCACGTTCATCACGGCGACGGTCTCGCTCGGCTGCGCATCTCATCTGGAAGGCTGTGCAGCACTGAGAGCCACGTACTCGCGATTGTCAGCACAGCGCAAAGGACCTTCCCATCTTGCGAGTGCCAGCGCGATCGATTGAACGGCTCTGGCAATGTGACGATCGCATCTTGACCATCACAAAAAGGGTAGGCAGCCTTGGTTTGGCGATCTCGCTGCCTCTTGCCAAGTCTCAGCTTGCAGTATAATAAACGTGAGTACCAAAGCTGAACCTGCACAAATTCCATGTCGACCCTGATGCTCGGGCAAACGTATGAGCTAGCGCACCAGCAAATCCTTTCTTCAACCGGAGTCACGGAGTCAAGGAGTGCCGTGAAGTTTGGACGAACGGTGGAATAGCGGGCCTCGCCTCGCGTCGGGTAAGCGTGAATTGCTCGGCGGCAGTCCTGATGCCCTCGCGCACTGCGTCATCGATTGGGAGCACCGTCGAGGCACTTGAAAGACTGGATGGGTAGGATCAAAAGGCCGGTCCTCTGACCAGCCATAGCAAAGGATTGGAGGTCCGTGCATCGATCGCGGCGTAAAGCGGAGGGGAATGAGAAAAGGCGGATAGGGTGGTAACCGAAATTTGCTGTTTTTGCTCCTTCCTCCACGGCTCGTGGCAATATCTCCGCACAGTCGCTTCAAGCCCGCGGGGTCGTGCGTGCGACGGACGGCAAGGCAAGTGTGAATGGAAACAGCCGCTGCAGATCCATGCACAGCCGCGCTCGCTGCATTGCATCGAAGCGGCAGGTGAAAGCTTCTTCTCGGTGTTGCGTGCTTGCGGTGCGATTTACACGCCTCTACTGTACGGTACGAATGTCAACCTGGCACGCGCATCTCAAGCGTACATGATTGTGAGGCCCTCATCACGCCTTTGCAACTCCGACGATCGCGAGCGGACGATCGAAAGCTTGTTTCGAACAGCTCTGATGTGGTCGCTCCTCACGCAAGCTCCATCGCGTCTTGCAAGGCGACAAGGGGCGCAACGCGGCAAAAGTGGGCGTGGGAGCCGGGCGAATTGCAGAGGGGCTTCGGCCAGCCGGTCCTACTCGGAAAGGGCCGCGAGGCGGAGCATTCACAGTGAATCAGCGACTTGAAGACTCGATGAAAGTGCAGACATTGTCCGGGCAGGATGTCGTGATTCGCATCGCCGCGGGGGCAAATGCTTTGCATTCGTAATTTCACTACATTGACGTTGCACGATTCAAACTCGTCTCTCGGGGGCGACATGCAAGGATCAAGAGAGGTCACAGCCGGAGATGCGCTTGTGGAAGCAGTTGCGTCGAACCGCATGCACGGTGACGGAAATTCGCGAATGTGCAACACGCCGCCATGCATGACTTGGCCGAGAGATCTCGCTGCTGGTTGGGATCGGATCACGAATCGAATTCCATTCCGTGACTCTTCCCTCGCTCCTGGCAACGTGCACAGACGCACTCACGATTGGGCGCGCAGTCGTGCGAATGCAAACAGTCGTGAAATCTTGATCTTGACCCTCTGCTTTCAGCACCCGTGACTGCTTGATAGCGCCAAACGGCTCATCTCGTCTCCCGCTCTGCACGGAGGGCAAATGACGCATCAAGCGCGCTAGGTTGCGCGATGCATGCAGAGGCGTGGGCGCTAGTTCTGGGTGCATATTGGCCTCGTGTCGTGCCTTACTGGGCTCTGCTTTTGTATTGTGCAGTATGCGAAGAATTCACGTCAGGGGACAGTCGCGCTTTGCTTTGCGTCGGAGTTTCCCCATTGCGCAAGACGAACCGTCATCGAGCACGTTCGACATCATGTGGAGTGGCCCCATTACTCATCTCGATCTCGCATTCGGCGATGAGCGCAAGTTGGAGGGACTGTTGCGTGCGCAAGAGCAGAGGCGGAATGACTTCAAGAAGGACATTTCCAAGCGCAGCCCTCGACCACGATCAGCCAGCAGCACATTGGCTACCGCTTTTCCAAGCAGTCCATCATGGTCACCACAAAAGAAAGCGCCCCGCTCACAACAGACGAGGCACAAGCTGGTGCTTCAAGTTCGAGCCCTCATAGTGTGAGCGACGGCGATGGCGAAGCAACAGCGTGCAACGATACCGGCGAGGACGTCGAGGTGGAACGGGAAGCCAAATCGAGAGCAAAGGCAGAGGCTATGGAGAAATCAGCGCAAAACGACACGTCCGAGCAAACGTTGAGCATCGACGATTTGCCATGGGCAAATCCCCGCAATTGGCCCTACTTGAAGCGGGCAGCGATAGCAGTCGTGGTGAGTGCGATGCGCGGATCCAGCACTCGTCGGAACCGCGGCTGATGCTACGATGCGCTCCCGCAGATCTGGCTCTGCATTGGACCCGTCGACATGACCGCAGCTGCGTATGTGAGCAGCATCGATACTGACACCTGACTCGACTCCCAAAAGCTCACCTCTTGTACGCATGTCCGCCCGCTCAGAGCGGAGGGACGGAGCAGATCATCGAAGAGTTCCAAGTCACACGGGTTGTAGCGGTGCTGGGCGTTTCTCTAGCAAATCTGGGCATCTCCATTGGTCCCGTCATCGGTGCGCCTCTGAGCGAGACATTTGGACGCAAGCCAGTCTATCTCGTCTCCATGGCTGGTTTCGTAGCATTTTCTGCAGCTAGCGGAGGTGCAAGGAATATTCAAAGTGCGTCCCGTCGATGCTTGTATCGCCCCGCGCGCGTGAAAGAGCGCTTGCTCACTCGGCCCCATCCGCAGCGCTCCTGATCACTCGCTTTGTGAGCGGCCTCTTTGCCGGTCCGCCCTTTTCCGTGTGCGGAGGCTCGCTTGGTGACCTCTTTACAGATGAAGAGCGCGGGTGAGTCGAGTGTCGCCATGAGCGCCGCGAGTGTCGCCTCACGAGTAGCCCCACCTCCGCCGCACAGACCTTGGGTGGCCATTTTCACGCTGATGCTCCAAGGCGCGCCATCCATCGCCCCAGTGTGGGCCAACTGGATGGGCCAGACGGTATCATGGCGGTGGATCCTCTATGCCATTGCTATCTTTGCAGCCTTTGACCTCGTGCTGCTCTGTCTGATCCCCGAGACGCAGCCCGGCATCATTGTCCGCAACAATGCACAGAGGTTGCGTAAAGAGAGGGGCGCAAAGAGCGAAAAGACTGCAACGCCAGCGGTCAGCAAGCTCGCTGCGCGTTTGCGACCGAAGCTGCAGACATTGAAAGACGGTCCCGACGAGAGGCATGCAGAGCACCAGCTGAACGAGAAGCTCGATGCATCGCAGGGACAAGTGTATGCCCCCATCGAATTTGATCGCCGACCGCTGTGGCGCAAAATCACCTCCACACTGGCTAGACCGCTGGTTATGCTGGTCACCGAGCCGATGCTGCTGTCGACGACCATCTACCACGCGTTCATATACTCTTTGTTGTTCATGCTGCTGGAGATTGTGAGTAGCGCGCGCAGGCACGCACGCACGCACGCACGCACTCGCGCTCACACCCGCTCACATCCACGCAGTACCCGCTCGTATACGAACGCATCTACTCGCTCTCGCTGGGCTTGTCTGGAACAGCATTCGTGGCACCATGGCTCGGTAATGCGCTTGGCGTGGTGTGGTACTTTGCCATCATCGGACCAAAGTACGCCAAGCTGTCCAAAGAAGGGCACGCGACACCCGAGACTCGACTGCCCAGCATGGTCATTGCAGCCATCCTCTTGCCTGTCGCGCTTTTTTGGTTCGCGTACACGACCTACCCGAGCGTGCATCCAGTCGTATCCATGGCCTCTGGAGTGCTCGTAGGTGCAGGAATGGTGTTGCTGCAGCTCGCTCTGAACGCCTACTATATCGATGTGTACGCCCCATCAGGCAGGGCGGCATCGGCACTGGCAGCCAACGTCATGCTTCGCAACCTCTTGGCCACCGCATCGCCCCTCTACACCACGCCCATGTACGACGCCTTGGGTCCGCAAAACGCGAGCGTCATTCTCGCAGCCGTGGCTTGCTTGGGTTTGCCAATGTCCCTCTTGCTCATTTGGAAGGGCAAGCATTTGAGACAGAAGAGCAAGATCGCGCAGTGACGGCGCCGTGCCGTTGGAGTAGATTCTCGCAAATGTATATACTGCATGCTTCACGCCAATTTGCATAGATTTTTCGATTGCATGCTTTGGCGACGCGAGGCGCGGTCCGAGTACGATCCCCGCGCGCACGCGCGAGCGGCCAAATTCATGACAAGATTGCCTGAGCCAAGGGAGAAGCGGTCCGCGGTGCTCAGGCGCTGACGACGTAGAACAGGAACCGCAGCGCCTCTGAGGACATTGGCGCAGCACGCGCGACGCGAACATGTAGGCATCCTTGCGCTATTGCATGGCATTTGCGACTATATGTTCACGCCGTGCCTAGAAACCTCCGCTGGCGAGAGCTGCATGCACTCGCCTCACATTCTCTTCGGCGTTGCAAGAGCGCACCGCAAACAGCGTGGTAAGGGGGAATGCGCACATCGAGATGGATAATGGTGGGGGTTGTATGGCAGGAAGCGCGACGCACAGCTTGGCCGCGGCGTCGTCTCTGCTTCCTGTGAGAGCGAGCAGCGTTACTGCTTCATCTCGAACGAGCTGCGCGGGGGCCAAGGGTGAGCAACTGCGCACGCACTCGCGCACACGAACGCACGCACCTCGACTTTGGAGGATGCTGCCGCTTGCGTCAGCCTAGTGAGCTCTGCGGGACTTGCCTGCAACCAGACGGTCATTGCTTCTCCATCAGACTGGGTCGCAATAGCCCTTGCAAAGTCGCCGCGGGAAACCTCTGCGGCCAAGGCGACTGCTGCCGGTGAGCCGAGCGCGTGGGTTATCAAGTGAACGTTGGGCAGGAGGGAAAGACTGAAGCGGGATGCGTGTCCCGATGAGAGGTCCGCTTCGTCAGTGACGCCATCAATGACGGTGCCTGGATCGTCGGGAAACAGCACGTGCTGCACCTTGATGCGTACACTCTTGTCGACCTTGAGGGCCTATGGAGGCGGCGACGCGCGTTAACAATACAGTGACTCTTGAGGAAAAACAGTCACGCTCACCTCTGCATTGATGACTTCGTTTCCGTACTTTGCGAGTTCGTGCGCCTCTCTCCTCGTGATGACGGAGATGACTTTGGCGTCGGCAGCCACGTTCGGATTTGCCTGCAGTATTCCAGCCACTTCTTTCCAAATAAACATGCACGACACGCTGAGCGCATCGGCACACAAGGAAGCGCATCGATCGCTGTACCCACGGCCGACGGTTTCGAGCAGGGCGTACGGCAAGGGTCCATAGTAGCCAGGCACGACGAGCACGCGCGAGGAGTTGTGCGCGAGCTCATCGCGTATCGCCCGGACGACGCGCTCTTCGACCTGGTCGGCATTGCACGTGTCCCAGTCCAGCGCGAGAGAGTCTAGCCGCACCACCGAGGCGTCGAGGTGCTGAAAGCAGTCGCGCACCGCGTCAGAGGGGGGATTTAGCAGATGCAGGCGGGTGCGCGCGCGCGCGCGCGCGCGAAGACTCACCTTGCTGCAGAGTGCTGCAGTCAGCACTCTCGTCGACCACAACTCTCCAAAGGCGACGATGCGTTCCTTCATCTGGGCGCTCAAGAATCCAAGAGTCTAGCGGGTGGGAGCGGACAGGAGGAATGTCAGCTTGGAGATGGCGGGAGAATTCAGGAAAAGTATGCACCTCGACGGCAGCCAAGACTGCATACAGCTCGTCGAAGTCGCAAGACAAATCCGACAGGCACTTTTCCGCGATCGACGCATCTTGGCAGTGAGTGCGCACGGCGGCAAAGTGGTCTTCTTGGAGTGCTTGAATGTCCGAAAGCCAGCCAAATTCCTTTGCTGTGCGTACATCAAATCGTTCGTCTAGCGAAGCCCGACTGCTGGGGGGACTCTCTTGAATATCGGCAAAATCTATCAAGGAATTGCGCATCGAGGACAGCGTCGAGGATGTGCTTCTGCTGGCCGAGGATGTCCTGGTGCTCGCACTTGTGGAGCGCTCTCGAGCACGGTCCAACAGCGCCGACGTGACGCGGTCCAGCGGTACGCCTGAAGGGTTGTGGAGAGGTGAGAGCAGAGGCGACCGTAAAGGAGCTGGATCTGCCTGCGCAAAGCAGTCCAAGCGCCAACGCTGATCTCGACCGCGCGCGTCAGAGGCGCGACGCTGTGAGGTGCCACGCGACTCGGCGGCCTTTTCTGCCGCTTCGAGCAACGTGGAAGTGGTGCCTTTTGCTTTGGATGCGAGCGACCTGGCACTGCACACGATCACGAGGCGCTCCGAAGTCGCACGGGGGCTGTGGGGAGGCGGAGGCCGGCGTGAGCGCGGGCTTCCGCTCGCTTCAGGTGCGCTTTGTACGATACTCACGCGACGATGTTGTCGACGATGTGATCGAGATACCGTGCGATGGAGGTGCCTCCAATCTTGTGCACGCTCCATGCCAAGGAAGCGCTTGCTTGCGGTAGAGATTCCATGGTGGCAGCTGTTACCGTGGAGGGAGGATAGGGGGGCTGACAGCGTTCGAGTACAGAGATCGCTGGCTACCGGCCCGTATATGAGAGAGCGCCCTCGCGGTCCGCTGATTGACACTCTTGAGATGTTTTGCCTTTTGCTACGAGTCGCTGTACTGGCAGGTAATTCTTGATTATTTGCGACTCGGCGCACGGCGCACGTGACGCGCTAAAAATTCCACTATTTCCATCTCGTATGCAGCAGCTGATCAAACGCGCTAGCCTGCTGCTGGCCTCGAGGCGCGCGCGCAAGGCGCACAAGCTCTGACGCGTGCGAACACGAGGCGATCTGCGCGGGGAAACTTTTGATGTTGTTGCCGCGGATGTTGTTGTGCGCGGCTGGATTGCGCAATGCGATCACGCGCGCGCGGGGGGGTTGAGCGTACGCACAGCTGGATTCCGATCACGCACAGTCGGATGGAGGGTTGTCATCCGATGTAGTCTTCTCGCCTTGCACTGGCAGTGGAATGCTGTGCTCGTGATTCTGGTGTGAGAACGACACGGGCGCAAAATGCCGTCAGCTTGCGTTGCGCAAAGCTCATCTCTTAAAAGGGCCGCCGCGAGGGCTCGTGATCGTGCTCATGCACAGCGCCCCTCAGTAACTACGCCTTCTCTGCGCCTTCTCTGCGCCTTCTCTGCGCCATCTCTACGCAACCATGGCACCAGCTATTCACTCGGATCAGAGCTACGGCCACGAGGTCTCCGTCGCGACCCCTCACAAAACTCCCGTCAAGGGCAACAAGCCCTACAATCCGCAATGGGGCTTCTCCACCCAGCAGCTGCACGCTGGTCAGAGGCGGGGCGATCCGACGACCAATGCCAAGGCAGTTCCCATCTACCTCACCTCCAGCTTCATCTTTGACACGCAAGCTTCCGGCGCTGACCTGTTCGACATTGGCAAATCCGGAGGCGCGGGGTCCAACATCTACTCACGGATTGGCAACCCGACTTGCGAAGTATTTGAAGAGAGGATCGCCATGCTGGAAGGTGGTTCAGCGGCCGTTTCGACATCGAGCGGCCAGTCGGCGCAATTTATGGCGATTTCGACGATTTGCGAGTCGGGCGACAACATCGTCACTACGCCATACCTATACGGTGGTACGCACAATCAGCTCAAGGTGCGTAGTAGCGAGCCGTCGCGCGGAGACGGGCGCTGAAAACTTTTTTTTCTTTTTTTTTTCTTTTTTTTGCCCTCAGGTGCTGCTGTCACGCTTTGGCATCGAGGCGCGCTTTGCAGCATCGGACAAGCCTGCGGATCTGGAGAAGCTGATCGACGAAAAGACCAAGGCAGTGTACATCGAATCCATCTCTAACCCTCGATGGAACGTTCCCGATATTCCAGCGATTGCGCGACTGGCAAAGAGCTACGGCATCGTCACCATATGCGACAATACGTTTGGAGCTGGAGGCTATCTGTGCAAGCCCATCGATTTGGGCGTCGATATTGTCGTCGAGAGCGCGACCAAGTGGATTGGCGGGCACGGTACCGTCATTGCTGGTGTCGTCATCGATGGAGGTCGCTTCGACTGGGGAGCCAGCAAGAGATATCCGTCCATGACGGAGCCGTTGGAGGGTACGCACGGAGGTGGAAACTGGCTGGGCGCATCGCTCATCGGCAAACGCTTCTGGGAAGTCTTTGGCAACAAGAGCTTTGCGATGCGTCTCCGATTCGAGATCTTGAAAGACATGGGAGCGTGCCTGTCGCCATTCAACGCTTTCATGTGCTTGCAAGGTCTCGAGACCCTCTCTTTGCGGGTGCAGCGAACCGTCGATAACGCGCTGGCTTTGGCGCAGTGGTTGGAATCCCATCCAAAGTGCGCCTGGGTATCCTACCCGGGCTTGCAGTCGCACGAATCGCACGAGAGGGCCAAGGAGTTGCTGCACAATGGATTTGGAGGGGTGTTGTCGCTGGGCGTACGCGGAGACGGAGGCAAATTTACAGAAGCTCTGCAGTTGGCTTCGCACCTGGCAAACGTGGGCGATGCGCGGACATTGGTGATTCATCCAGCCAGCACCACGCACGCAGCCCTAGGCGACGAGGAACTCCAGGTGGCGGGCATCGGCAAGGACATGCTGCGTGTCAGCGTCGGCATCGAAGATTTGCGGGATATCGTGGATGATTTTCGGTGCGCCTTTGAAGCCATCTAGGTGGTGCCTCTTTGCGGCGCGTCTTTAGTGTTAGCTACTCTGTACATTTGGTGGCCCCGCTAATCTCTCTAGGCGTTTGCCTAGCCAATGCATGCTCCGCGCGTCGTCACTCTGGTGCCGTGACGCCTTCTCGAATGACTTTGTTCGCCGCCGCGTATACTCTCCTCTCGAGCGCCTCATCTGCCTGCGCTTTGCTTTCCCTCGCCTCGTGCTCATCCCACGCATCGCGATTGTCGAGCCATCGTTCCTGCACATCGCCAGCATCGCCCCATCCCTCGACCTCACCAGCCGCTGTGCCAAACAGTGCAGCTGCTGTCGCCGCTCCTGCTCGAGGTGGCACCATGCCAGTGGTGGCGTATAGACTGCCCGGCTGAAATCGTTCGTATCGCTCCTGCTCCGTCTCTTGAGGCGCGCTGCTGCTGCCGCCGCCGCCATGCCCCGCAAAGACGTACCCGCCAGCCTTGTCCACAATGCGAGTGAGGCGCAGCATGCTCCGCTTGTCCTCCACTGCCAGCGTCTCGAAGCCCACAAGCCCAAAGTCTTCCACCAGTTCGCAGATCCTCTCATTGAGCCGAGTGTGGCGTGGTGAGGTGCCCGTTGCATCTACGTCTAGCAAGCGGGACAGGTCTTGAGCGTGGGTGTAGTACGACAGGTTGAAGAGCATGCCGTCGTTGCGTGCTCCCGGCGTCGGGGAGGATGAGAGATCGTGTGCGCCTCCGTCGTCGTCGTCGTCGTCGTCGTCGTCGTCGACGTGCGCGCCAGCCACCGCATCGCCCAACAAGTCGATCTTGGATAGCACATTGATGTGAGGCAGCTCGAGAGCGAGCATGGCGCGAAGGCTGAGCAGGACGAGGGAAATGTAGCGCGAAACGTCGGTAATGTGAGAAGCGTCGACGAGGTGCAGGGCCACCAGCCTAAAGCCCGCCTGGCTCTCCACCTGCTGGATGATGCGTCTGAGCGACGCATGATTCGTGCTCAGCTCCACTTGTCCGGGAATGTCAAAGATGAGGTAAGCGTCGCGATCATGGTGCAACAAGCTGCGCAAGCCATCCAAGAGCCAGTGGATGTTCTGCTCGAGGTACTCGATGCAGTACAGCAGCGCACCATTGGGACCCAGATGCAGCTCCTGCATCACATCCTGCACCCTGATCAAGGTATTGATGTCGAGCGATGCGGTGTAAGGTGACCTGCTGGCGCTGGCGCCATCGTTTGCAGGATCCAGATTGACCACGTGAGCTTTGCGACCGAGCGCAGTCAGGAAATCCTTTGCACCCGCGCAGTACGTCGTCTTGCCTGCTCCTGGCGAACCGACGACCAGCTGGCCGAATGGCATTGCGGGGGGGTGTGTGTGTACGGGTGGGTGGTGAGAGTGCGTGGGTGGTGAGTGCGCGCGAGGGGTGAGAGTGAGAGTGCGCGCGAGGGGTGAGAAAAGACGAGGCGGGCAAGTGGGGCGCGGGCGCGGGCGCGGGCGCGGGCGTGGAGGCAGAAGCTTATAGCAGCGCATACATCCGGCCGGGCCTCCTGCACGCACGCGATGGTGGAGAGGGGTTCTACTGGGAGCAGCGAGCGCTAGCTTGTTGAGTGCGGTGGGTCATTCATGAATGCGAATGGATGAATCACGAATCCCGAATCACGAATCACGAATCGATTGACATTCACGTGATTTGTTCATTCATCAACCACAGTCACAAGCCCAAATTCGTGGTCGCGCCTTGTGTCTACATGGCTGCCCACGCACGCACGCACGCACGCACGCACGCGAGAGTGGTCATTTGCACCTTTAAGCTGCGGTGATGTACAGCACTGGAGGGGGGCACATGCGATGCCGAACCATGTCAGCCCTTGGGCCCACTCACGCTCCCGATGCCAAGCCATGTCAGCCCTTGGGCCAACCCCTCCGCCCGCACGCACACTCACCATTGTTGCCCCTCACAAACGCATCACCGTAAGCATTTCTCTGCCTGCCCTCCACCCATTCCGTCGTGTCTTCCAGCGCAATGTTCATGTACCCATCCAAGCACGTCAAAATGCCATGATAGTCCACCCCCGAGCTCAGGCGAACAACGACTGCTTTGCCGATCACGTCTGGCGCGTGCGAGAGTGGGCGAGTGTGAGCGGCAGTCTAGCGGAGCGAGTGACAACCCGCGCTCGTGCCAATCGCGCTCCTCTCGCCCCTACGCCTTTGACTCCACCCACGCGGCCTGACCCACGCTGTTTGTCACCCCCCGCTGTTGCCCTCCCTGCTCTCTGCCTCTACCTCTCTCTCTCTCCTCCCCACACTCACGCTTCAAAAAGTCGTTGGGACTGCCCTTTTGTACCTCTGGTGCGCTCTCGCTCTCGCTCGCGCTCGCGCCCACAATTCCATCCCCTTCCGTCACTACTCCATTCGAGCTGGGAGATGCGTCTGCCATCGCGAGCAGGGTGTCCGTCTCCGAGGTGCAAAGTGTGCTCGACGGACTTTTGCCGGGTGTTGCGGCGCGATGCGCAGGAGCGAGCGCTTGCGTTTCCGTGTTGAAAGGGTGCGCGGGCAGGCAAGAGTCGAGTGGGATGGAGTCAAGAATCGTGGCTCGCATCACAACTCGAATATCAAATCAATCAAGAATAACAAATCGTGAATGATCGTGAATCTCGCATCGAGTCCGTGAGTCACGAGTCGAGTGAAATTTAAGTCGCGATTAGAACGTGCATCACGTGAGTCTTCCTTCACCTCGCGCGGCCACCTATACCTGCACGCGCGCGTCGACTTGCGCGCGCACCAACCGCGCGACCCATTCACGACCGAAGAATCACACAATGTATTCACACTTGCGACTTCATCGTGTCTCCCACATGCGATGGCTTTCGCTCAAAGTTTCACGCCTAAGACACGCGGATGATGATGGTATTGATGTAAGATCTATAGTAGGACATGCATGTGTATATGTAGGCGCGCATCGTGCGTCGATGCACGTGACACCCCCCCACGCTCGAGCCATGAGGAGAAGAGCGAGAACAGAGAGCGTGCGAGATAAGTCCATGCAAGGGAACGGCAAAAAAATACGAGCCATGGAGGGCAGGCAGGGGCACCGTTCATAGACGGGCACCGGGGGGAGGGGCGCGGAGACCAACAAGCTGAGACAGTTCCCGAAGTCTTTCTTTGGAGACTGACTTTGTCATCATATTGGCGGCCATAACTGTGGTGCGCACATACGCAAGCTTGATGTCTTGCGCAACGACTAGCTCTCGGACGAGGTGCTCCGTCATGCGCACGTGACGTGTGCGCGTACTATCCTTCCCGTTGGTAGCGTAGTCGATACTCCCTTGATTGTTGCCAAACACCGGCGTCGATCCGAGGACCGTGGTGGCCGAGGGGAAGTCAATGGCGAGCTCTTTGTAGAGCTGGCGCAACCAAATGGCGGTGTCACCGCAATGACTCAATGCGCAGTATTCTGCGTCGGTCGTACTTTTGGCCACCCTTCCCTGTAGCTTGGAAGACCATGCGATTGGTCCACCTGGGCCATTAGGAGTACCGGAGATGAAGACATTCCCCATTGTGCTACGCAAAGTGTCGACGCAATCCCCGTGCGACGCATTGGAGTAAGCAAAGAATGGCGGGTAGTGAGCAGATGCATTGGTGCGCGCGGGGTAGAATAACCCTGTACTGGCCGACCCGTGCAAGTAGCGTAGCACCTGTATTGCGGAGACCCAGTGCTCTGGGCTAGGGTGCGAGCTGTGTCTGCTCAACGCCGACACTGCGTACGCAATATCAGGGCGGGTGCCCAGCATTGCCCACATGAGGCCGCCGATCAGCTCCAAGTATGGTTCGGAAATGCGCGGTGCATTGGCCGGTGTCTTGCGCAGCACGATCCCCTTTTGGAGAGGCGCGCCCGCTGGGGGCAAGTGTTGGAGGTCGAAGCGTGCGGCCAGGTCGTGAATGTATCGTTCCTGGGAAACATGCAGCCCGCTTCTGTCGCGTTGGATATGTAAGCCAAGGATTGCGCGCAGCTGGCCAAGATCCTTAATCCCGTACTCTTCACGCAGTGCCTCCTTGAGTTCCCGCACGAGAAGGGGGTCGGACGACAACATAGTCAAGTCGTCAACGTAGACGGCAACCATGATGAAGTCTCCGTTGCGTTGGCACATGTATAGGCACGGATCGCTAAAGCATCGCTTGTATCCCATGGCCTTCAACTTCTTGTCGATGTTGGCGTTCCAATAATGGCCAGATGCGGGCAATCCATACAGCGACTTCTTGAGGTGGTACACGTACTCTACACCTGGTCCTTCGGGGTGCTCTTCAAAACCTTTGGCTTGACAAAGATAGTAGTCGTCTTTGGGGTCAAGGTCACTGTGGGTGTATGCGTTGTTCACGTCACACCCCTCCAGGCACCATTCGGGGTTGTACCCAGCAAAGCTGAATAACACACGCATGGTGTTGAACTTGACCACGGGAGAGAAGGCAGTATCGTAATCGCGACCTGGTTGTTGATTGAACCCTTGGGCCACTAAGCGGGCTTTGTACTTGACAACAACCCCTTTGTCGTTCCTCTTTTTGGTGAGGACCCACTTGCTGCCAATCACTCGCTGACCATTACGGCGAACCAGTGTCCATGTGTTATTGGATCTGAGGGCAGCCAATTCTGCAATAGCCGCTTCCTTCCACTTCTCGGCCTCGTCGGTGAGGAGTGCTTCCGCGTACGAGCGTGGGTCGGCTGGCATAGCGTGAGCCGCCGCTGCCACAAACGCACCCTCAGGGAAGTTGAAGTTGGACCCATTTCCACCGCCCTCCCCAAGCAGATGCTCGAGCGTCACAGACATGGCGTAGAACTGTTCAAGAGAGTAACGCGAAGTGTGCTTGCGTTCGCGGGTACTCTTTCTGGTTTCGGCAACAGGTTCGGCGATAGACGATGGCACCACAGGCTCTGCGGGTGTCGTGGCTGCTGCGGCTGGCGGTTCGATCATCACAGGCTGCGGTACAAGGGCAATAGGGCTCTCGACGGTAATCGGGCGGCTCTCCGGTTCGGGCGTGGATGGTGGTTCCCTCGCTGGAAAGGACGACTCGTCAAATAGGGTGTCGTTCACGCGACTAAGAGACACCTTGTGCCCATCCCAAAGGCGGTAGCCTGCACGGTCGTACCCAACAAAGATCAGTGGACGGCCAGATGGTTCCAGCTTCATCCGATGCTCACGAGGTACGTATGCCCAGGCTTTGCACCCAAATGCGCGCAGCAGCTGCATAGCAGGGGGAGATTTGTCGTAGTACAAATCGTCTGGGATTGCTTTGATCGCGTCATGGTAGGACGCATTTTTGGCAATGACAAATGTACGCATTGCCTCCGCCCGTAGGCAATGGGGTAGTCCGGCATCGAGGAGCATTGTAGTGACTCCGTCAAGCAACGTGCGATTGACGCGCTCGGCGCGTCCGTTGCTCTGAGGAGTGAATCCCACTGTTCGACGGTGGTGGATGCCGCGTTGCGCACATGTAGTGTCGATGCGGTCGTATTCTTTACCACGGTCGGTCTGTATCTCTTTGATGACGTGCTCATGTGGCAGAGCAATGAACTCGTTGATGACCGTCGCAGCGTCTCCTTTTTGGCGTACTGGGAACGTCCAGGTTTTGCGCAAATAGTCATCCACCAGCACAACAACATAATGGAACCCCAACAAGCTTGGCCAGGGGATATATAGCACGTCACTGTGTACCAATGCCAATGGTGCGGCCGCCCGGTGATCACTTGATGGAAAGGCCCCTCGGTGGAACTTTCCCTCAATGCAAGCTTCGCACTTCGGTTCGGTGGATACGTCGACTTTGCCCTTTAGCGGACCATTGGCCATCTTGCGGATGGCGCCGTGATGCAGATGGCAAAGTCTGCGGTGCCAGGTGGCCATCGAGTCCAGTTTGTTGCTTTGCAGGGCAATTGCGTGGCTGCCCTTCGGACTCTTGAGGGTGTCGACTCGCCATAGGCGGTTGGTGCATCGCGTCGCTGTGGCAATAGTGACCCCATCTGGCGATACAATACGACCTTTGGTGCTGTCTAAGATAACGCTATAACCCTTCTCGGTAATCGCACCTACGGACATGAGGTTGAAAGGCGTGCCAGGGGCCCAGCATACATCTTGCAGGAGCACTGGCTGTGCAGTGTGTAGGCGTACGCTGCCATGTCCCAGGATCGGTACTGCGCCACCAACGCCAGTCAGGCTGCCATTGGCCCTTTCGACCAGGTTGACGAATAGGGTCCTGTCGTTTGAGACGTGAGATGTGCATCCTGAATCGAGGTACCAATCCTTCGAGGAAGCGTGAGCCACCAGGGAGAAGTCGTGGGAGCTCGCGCGTACCGTGGATGGGTATTCGGCCGGAGGTGGTAGATGGACTTCGGCATCCACCACTTGCGCTACTAGGCCAAACTCGCCTGGGCGCAGCGCTGCCAACGCGGTTGGGATGGATTTGCTTTTCTGAAGCTTGCGTCGCTCGGACTCCTTCCGTTGTCGGACCTTTTCAGCTGCTGTCTTGTTGGTGCACTCGCGCATCCAATGGTCTCCGTTGCATGCGGGACATGGGCCCGGCGGAGGCGAGTTGCTGCCTTGTCGCTTGTGCGCAACCAGCCCAACGCCATTTCGGTTTGCACCTTGCTGGGAGTGTACATCTTTAACTTTCTTAATGATGGTTTCCAGATCAGGTAGTGCATCGCCTGCATACCATACGGTCTTGAGCGTATCATAAGTTTTGGGTAGAGAGCGCAGGAATAGGGCTGCTATGAGATCATCCCATTCAATGCCCAAACGTTTCATGGTTGAGTGCGACGATTTGAACTTGGCAATGTGGGTGATTAAGTCGCCATCGACGCCAAGCGACATGCCAAGGAGGTCGTTGACTATGTGAATCTTGCCCATCGTGGAAGAGGGCTCGAAGTGTTTGAGGATGCACTCCCATGCCTTCTTGGCATCGCGGGTGTCCTTGATGAGGTGAAGCAGATCAGGGTCGAGGGAGAGAGTGAGGAGATTCCTTGTGGCCCTCACGCGGTCGTTGTACTCGGACCACTCATTGCTGGTGACCTTGGGAGGGTCAAAATCGCGCTGTAGGATTTCCCAACAGTCGTTCGTGTCAAGCACCGCCTCGACCTGCTGCTTCCAGGCGTCAAAGCCGTCGGCATCTTTGAGGCGGTTGGCGCGGTCGAAGACGAGTTTGATCCGCTTCAGGGGCGCGGGGCCGTGTGTTGAATAGGTAGAGAAGATGGATTCGCCCCGGTCGACGGGTGCGGATGCGCCTCGGGCTGAGGTCGAGGGAATGGCGGATGCGGATGCACCCGAGGTGGATGGGAGAGGCTGACCGGTCCCAGCGACAGAGTCGGATTCCTGGGATGTAGTCATTGCGACGCCTTAGGTGTGATGAGTACTTGGTTTGTGACGATCACGAATGGCTCATAACCTTTCACGCCTAAGACACGCGGATGATGATCTACTATATATGAACGAAATCATACCCCTCATCACGTGCTCCCAATAGGCTTACCCCAGAATTCCAGAACATTCTTGCTCAGCGCGCTATTTTCTGCTTGCGCAGTTACGCAATAAAACACAAGTGTGGCTCAGTGGCTTCTCCATCACCACCACTGTTATACCTTCATCAACTCAAAAAAATCAGATCTACATTACCATCAGCTTAAACTCTGGGATTTGACTTGCTATGCTCATGATGTCAAGATCCATCCAGACTGTCTCACAAGCCAGAGACATCTGTGGTGCACAGCATGCCCAGGACATTTGTGGTGCGCGGCACACCAAAGGCATTTGTGGTGTGCAGTACGTCAAGGACATTTTGTGGTGCGCGGCACGCCAAAGACATGCATGGTGCGCGGCACGCCAAGGACCTTTGTGGTGTATCACCAGTAGCAGACCATGGTCTGCCAGGCATCTCGTGGTATTGATGTAAGATCTATAGTAGGACATGCGTGTGTATATGTAGGCGCGCATCGTGCGTCGATGCACGTGACACAAAGCCCTGCGTTTTGCGAGACAAGATGTAGTCTGACATGCGTGCAGATCAAGCGTTCGTGCTTTGTGTCCCACCGCAGACCCATGTCTGGTAGCTTCAACGCGATGCAAGGTCCAACATCTGTTTAGCGCCTCTCGGCTCGCTCCAACTTCATCGATGCATTCATTTGGCCCAGCAGCAAGCTTGAATATCAGGGGTATCTATGTGGGATCTTATGGCACGTGAAGCGCTTCAGAGAATGTACTACGGACGCTTTGGCATGACCATTGCCGGACGAGACTTGACCTCACAACCAAGGCTTGCTCGTGATTTGGTGCGATTTTTCGGCAGGGACACTTTACAAGAGAGCCGCCAGACAAAGTGATCGCCAAGCAGTTCCCATTATCTGATAGCCTAGTCCTTGCGACGCAAGTGAATCGATGATGGTATTCATGCAGCAGAACGGATGCATGTAAACTGGTGTTTACATGGACACGCGTGCGCAACGCACGTGACAGTCCTGTGGAGATCTCTAGCGGCAATCTCGAATCGAATACAGATACGCAAATCTGCTTGACGCAGCAAAGAACGTGTAGCAGTCGCCTGTCTCTTCGAGAGGCTGCCACCTTTTGATTCAGTATCGAGCGAGGCGAAGGAACAAGCGGATCAGAAGCCATTGCGGCATCCGAGATTCTTCCGTGGCCCCCCCCCCCCCCCCCCCCCCCCGCCCCCCCCCCC